CTTTTTTCCATCATTTTTTTGCGTTCATGTTCACACGTTCAGATATAATCATGCGCATTTGTTTTCACATGAACACGAAATGTAATAAATACACAACAGAAGCATCAATTCACAAGTTCAAAGTTTCAGCTAAACGGCCACTTTTTTTCAGGCCCATATTACACACTTCATCTCCCACACACACAATTTAAAAAACTAAAATAGAGGGGAAAAAAAAACCACTCGAGGTGAGAGTGGGCACAGTCACAGACTTGACCGAGCTTACTAACATTATTAGTGTTGTTTATATATCATCCGACAAAGTGATGAACAACAAGAACTTCAGTTTAAACTGAATGAACTCACAAAAACACACCGTACGTCAGCAGTGAAGTGCTCAAACAGAGCTCATGATAATGTTAATTATAATGTGATGTGTTCTGAAATACTGTCTTACAGAAATGTAATCACTATATTAACATAGATTCATTTAAATTCACCTACGTTGATTCTGCCCTCTAGTACAGCTAGAGCGTCCACTGGATAAAGCTCCAGTGTTGTTATTTGGTTTGTCAGTGTAAACATGGGGAAATAGGAAATACACCTTCTCTCCAACAAAACAAAACTGAATATGACAACTCTCTCCCTGTTCTTGCAGTGAACTTCACAAGTTCATTTCAGGCTATTTTTGACTTTACAGAATGCTTTACCCTTTAACAAGAAATGTCTTCTATGTGCATGTGGTTATCAGGAGATCTAAAGTGACTGTAAATAATGGTCAGAGAAAATCTGCATCGCTGCTCAGAGTAGCAAACCCTGCATGAAGCTGTCCCAATGCTTTGTGTAAATAAGACGAACCGTCTCTGTAAACCTTCTCTTCTCCGTCCCGAGGATTAAACTTAGACGGCAAATGGCGGACATACTCAACAAATAGTATCTGAGGAAGCCAACTAATTGTAGAATGATCCATCACAACTTTCATTTGTCCTAACATAAGTTTCCAGAGTGCATTTGGTTGAGGGTGTCTGGCCTTTGTTAAGCCCAGCGATGTAATCAAAAGGCTTTAGCCTCAAAAATGCTGCTGAAAGTTGTTTAACACAAGAGCACTGAACACAGAGCATGTCCAACATTTTTTGACCCAAACTTCAGAATTAATCATTTAAATCATTTTCTCCAACATCAGGAATAGAGCGCTGCTGGAACGAGTCCTAAATCCTGGAAACTAGTTAGCGTTTTAGCATTTCTGGTTCCCTCGTCCTGAAGTCATGTGTTTTTGGTTAGATGACTGAAATAAGGTCTTTGGTTAACAGAAGCTCATTTTCACCTTTTATCCTACGACATAAAATCCTTCTGTAAACACTGCAGTTGTGATTTCTTTACAAATTTGACGTCTCATAAAAAAAAGGCTGCTTGCTCACGAGTGGCTAAATGAGACTACAGAGGTTGTCCGGACGGTGAACATCATCATGCCAAATATTTAAACCACCCGGTCGCCAGATCACCCTCACAGCCTTGTCGTGTTCAAACTTTTGCTTTTGCAAACTATCACTAACTTTCTGGCTTTTGTAGAAGAGGTAAGAGCTAAATCTTAACTTCTAGTCAAGCTTATGGTGGTGATGCTGTAGTCATGTGACCATGGTGTAGTACGTTTATAGCCTAACAATAGCTTTTTACTTCTGGCAATTGTATTAAGGCTTCAAAAATCATAAAAATGGTTTATTTATTACTTCATGCTGAACATAATATATATCATATCATCATAAACTGTTGTTCGTCGCAGAGCTTAATTTCTGCATTAATCCAAAAGGCGTATGTAAAAATCCCATTGGCTTTTTGTCGAGGCGACCATGGTGATGCTAACTTCCAGGTTGGCCTATAAAAATCAGCCCTCCCTGCAACACTGCATGTCCCTGCACCTACAGCTGCCGACAGCAACCCTGCTACCACTCTTGCTGTTTGTTGATGCCAACAGAGAGAACGTCAAATGAAACACTGAGCTGAATGAAAGCTGTTTCGTCAGAGATTTATGTTGTACAGTAATTGAAGAATAGCAACATAGGCCATCAGCTCTATGTCTCAGTACTCACTAACAGCTTTAATTCTTGAGTCGCACTCCTTACGCACACAATCAAGGCTGACTGTCTGTGGAAGGAGATCAGCTCTGGACATCAACATGAGAGGGAGAAATGGTGACAGAAAACCATACATAAGCCCTGCTTGTTAAGCCATTTAAACTGTACACCCTCCTCCTGACTGCATCATTTTTTGTTTCCCCGTCATATTCCTCCCCGCTAACTCTGTCTTTCTTTCTTTCTTTCTTTTCTTTCTTTTGTATTAATTGAGAAAAAAAAACAAACGCTCGCCCTGTGGCCTCAGACAGTGTTGGGTAATACAATAGCAGCTGAATAGTTTAAAAGACGTTAGCACAGTACTGAATGTCTTGGTCACAGCACATGTACATGGTTAGGACAAAGAAGCAGGATGGTGAATAAATGCTGAATAAAAACTGATTCACTCTGTACTCTGTTTCATAAGGCTCGATGACTAAAAGGAAATAGATATGAAGAGGGATTACATAGACACATAGACACATAGTTGCACACTGTCAGCTTTGATTTGACGCTAACTCCAGCCACATGAGGTGAACTGGTAACCGACTACGCCTCCTCCTATTCGCCACCCATGACTCCACTCTGCTGCGACTTCTTTCAGGCGGTGACTCATAAACATCCCCAGCAAAACCTCAGTGCTCGTTAGACCAACAGCGGGACCACAACTCTTTTTCGCAACTCTTTCACAAGTGATTTGTAAAAACTTCAAGGAAACAGCGGAGGAAGGAGGTACACATCAAGACAGAGCGAACTTGCCACCTGAAGCAACCACACAGCTCTGAAGCACTGCACTGGTCCCATGCCAAGCAGCCCTGAGCTGTTTACATCCATGAAACTTCCACAAAGACAAGCCTCGTGTTGGGGTGCAGCATCGAAAGCCGTTAGAATATTAAACAAACATGTTAAATGTTGAGCCGTGCCGACAAGAGAGAACGAGCACAGCAGATTCTCATCACTAGAGACAATGTTTGGATATTAAAGCTGCGTTAATTGATACATAAAACTTTATACTTGATACATAAATATAAACATCGGGTCAGTTTACTACTTGTTATTTGAAAGGGGTCCGAGATAAACCCACAGAGAATTATCAGCAGACTCTGCAGTTCTCTTCATGTTTACAGCATTTTAGCGTCGTTCCGGTTTCACTGTTTTGATTCAGTCTCATGGCTCTCATTAACCAAATTTCAAGCAGCAGCAGACAGCTGTTTTCCTTGAAAAAAAAAAAACTCCACTGTATGCTATCGCACAGCACCAAATGGCAAGCGATAAAAGTTAGCAACTAGCTGCTGAACACAGTGGAGCATTTAGCTGATAAATATGTCTCCCTCAGGACTTGGTGGAGCAAACACAGAGCTAAAAGAAGAGTGAATATTGGATTTAAATTAGCCTGGGGGCCAAGAAACATGACCCAAATAAATGCTAATGTTGCTCTGTACCTCATAGATGTGTAAATTAGCAACTGTTTTCTTGCTACATTAGCCAAAACAGTTGTATATGATGATATTATATCAGTGTCTGTTTTGTAGTTTTTCTGGCCTGTATTTTCCATGAATATGCAGCAATAATAAAATCAATTAGAAAAATTTCTAATAAAGAATTAAAATTGGGAGCTAACATCTGCAGCACAGACTGTCTGTAGTTTAGTTATTGTTTACTTGCATATCCATCAGCTGATTTGCAGTTTTTTTTTACCTATTTCTGGATTGCACTATACAAGACTTCCCTTACTGTTAACTGCAGTGTAGTGAATAGTGATGTCTTTGAATATGTGGGTATAATAATAATATCCACATGAAAATCATTTTAAATCTGGCCATGGCCATGCCATTAATGGATCAATCAAATGGCACAGTGTAAGTGTGCATTCGTGTGTGTGTGTGTGTGTGTGTGGTCAGTGTACATGTGAACTGATGCTCGGACCTTATGTTGGCTTCTATAGGTGTAATGATGTATCTAATTTGTGAAGCTGCAGAGTCCGTTGTGTGCTCAGCCATAATCATGGGTCATTACCTCATTTACCATGGACGACCCACACATATACACACACACACACACACACACACACACACACACACACACACACACACTCACACACACACACACACACACACACACACACACACACACACACACACACACACACACACTACATGTATGATAGGTCTCTTTTTCAGGGAGGGTTTCTAACAGTGAAGGAGAAGTGTTTTGCATTTGAGCTCTGTTGACAACGTGGTACAAGAGTCTTCTCTTACCTCAGCATATAATACATACAAATCTTATTTTATCAAGATTAGATTTTTAAGATAAACCCCTTTTCATTTTACTAATACTGTGCATTTTAAGATGTACCACATAAATAAATTAGAGGTTCTCCTTGTTTTGGTAAATAAACCCTTTCAGTCTAAATGGCTAATTGCCACATCCAGTCCTCACACAGATAGCAGATGACTCTGGGTCCAATCCACTTCCAAAGCCGAAGATTTGCATTTCAGTCGCGTCCATTTTACTGCCCCATTACAGACACACACTGGGTACAGGCTGGGAACACTGGACCTCACGGTCAGTCAGCTGAATCAAAGTAAATGTGGGCAGGCCTCGTGGGAACAACTAGAAAAATAACCCACATCCATTTCTCATCTGGCCCAGTCCCTGTCCAGATGTGAAAACTAGGTCTGCAACACTACTGGCCCATTGTGCCACAGGGCACCATGCGAGGACCATTTTACAGATTCGGGCCAGAGCTCATGATATGGGCAGTTTGACTATTTTTCCTCAGCTGGATGTTAATTTAGCCTTTATAAGAACAATACAACACACAATATGTAAAATCATACCAACAGAGAGCAGGAAAAACGTGAATCTTCACAGTGTAACCTTGTTCCTTTTCTTTTGTGTCACAACATGCAGGATCTACGGTGACCTGACAAACTGCACTTACCTGGTGGCGCTGAAGATGGAGTGCTTCTGGCCGAACCGGCTGGTGGACGAGTTCTTCATCAGAGTCCACAAGCAGTACTTCCGCGACTGCTCGCTCTCTGGACGGCTTCTCAGGGACCCACCCAACCGCATCCTGGGTCCCTTCATCGTGGTGCCCATCCTGGTCACCCTTCTCATGACAGCCCTGGTGGTGTGGAGGAGCAAACGCAGCGAGGGAATCATGTAGTGAAGGGAAGCAAGGGGGGGCTCAGGGTCACAAGACTCAAAGCAAGAGGTACTTTTTTTTTTTATCCTAAGGTTGAACCATTCTCACCTTCAGTGACCAAAGGATCTCTTTTCCTGAGTGTTACTGTTTAAGGGAGAGTTTCAATCGGACCAGAATCTCTATATTATGGACCTGGAGATAAATTTAATTCTAATTCAGTGCTTCATCGCATCTACACCAATATGAAGCCTTTGCAGGTCTAACATGGATTGAAATGATTTCTTTTTCATAGAGCAAAGACATGCTGAACTGCTCACCTGAATCTAATCCTGACCAGAGTAGTGACTGGTGGAAAGAGATTGTAAATATAGAGAAACAGCTTCGAATAACTTTGGATGTGACGATAACACTACTACACATACAAGAATTTAACACCTTTTTTTGGAGACCATTAAACCATCACCTACTACAGCAGCTTAAACTCCACAGGAACAAAATGCAGAACCAATACAAATGGACAGTTACTCTGACCTCTTTTAAGGAATCCAGGGATATCAGATTATGTATATAAATATACTGTAAATATACACAGTATGTACGATTTGAGATTACTCTGCTAGTAGATTGTCAGAATGTCTTTGTAACACAATCAAGACAAATCATAGTACACTAAGTTAATTTCTCTCAGATTCAAATGAAGCGACGCCTGATTTTAACAGATGTGTGCTACATTTGAATGATATTCTTTGAATCATCAGGTCCACTGTCAAGCTATAGTAGGAGTAAAATTAGTTTTCATTTCCCCTGCTCATTCCAGACACCCTGGCCTCATCTCTTGGCAGTACCTGCAGTTCAATCTCTCTCCTGAATGAAAAAACGAAGATTCAGTACGTTTCCATGCCACACTGCACCAGCCAAAAACAAACTCACAAAAAAAAAAACGCAGGAGATAACAATGTTAAAAATACTGCAGACTGGCAGATGTGCTGTACAGGTGACGGACAAATGGAGACGATCACCGCACAGGGGTCAAGACTCTTATTTGGATGGGCTGTGATGACGTTGTGTTCTGCAGCTATCGCCTCCATCACCAAGGAAACTAAAATGAAGACATGTGACTGTGGAACAAGTTGAGAAGGAAGGCTTTTGAAGGCTATAGCTAAACATTTAGAAACTGTTAATTAACCAAAAATTCTTACCTTCTTTCTAATTGTTCACCCTCAAACTCCTCTGTTATCCATGTTGTAGAAAGACACTACACCAACAATTACCATATTGATTTGCATCCAGTTGAGCCGGGTATGATACATGTTGAAAGAGTGAAAAAGAGAACAAAGAGTAAGAAACTCACAGTGGAAAAACCACAATTCAAACGAGAGAGAAGAACATAAAGCACTGGCTTAAGTCAGCCAACGCACATTACTTCTGAATGTTGCCATAGCCTAAAGCACAGTTTGTGTATCATAGACCTTAGGTTTCTATCGATTTATGATCTCCCCATGTGGTGAAGTGTGTCGTGTGAACTGTTTCCTCATTGATATTTTTGAGTGCTCTCTTTCCTTTATAGATTCATTGACCTTTAACCTGCCTGTCAGCAAAACACACTTTAAAACACACCCACACTTCCCCAACATGATCCTACTTTGTACTTTGTGCCAAAAGCGCTTGGAAAAGAGAACATTTGCAACATTTGCTATGAAATGTCTAATTGTTTTTTTGTTTTGTTTTTTGGTGCCGTGACTTCTGATGATTGAATTTTAAAATCTATGATCATGAAGAAAAGTTCAATAAAATGTCTGATTAATGTGTCTGATACAGTCAGGATTGCTATTTATGTTTCTTATGAGATGAAGATGCTACAAAAGGCTTACTGGAGATGCGATTTGTTAAATATGACTGATGAATCCTGCATTAATGTATGCGTGGCTGAGTGTACAGCGTTGAGTCATATTGAATTCAGTGGGTTCAAGCCCCCGTGTCATTAGCTGAAGTGTGAAAAATACGAGAAAGTAAAAGATATATTTAGTTAAGTGTAAATAAAACAAAGGCCTCATTTTAATATGGCACATCGCTTTGTGTCCTGGGGAGTTAGGGGTAAATTTAGGAATTATCACCTTCTCCTTTTCACATAGAACCATTGGAGAATAGCACCGATATCTGGGCAGAGAAATGAAGGTGCAGTGAAGTGAGCATACAGCGTTCTATCTTGGGCTATATTTTGCCTTTGTATTGGTGCCCTCAGAGGACAGGAGAGTGTGAATCCCAATCAGTGAGTAAGTTGAGCCCTGAGGTAACGTGTCAAGTCATTTGAGAGAAGTGTCTGTGATTCTTTGACAAATTCAAGTCAGGTAACAAGACATTCAAGACAAGTGCAAGTCTCAGGTCATTCAAGACCAGTGCAAGCTAAGTGGAAAGTCGTTTGAGTCGTGTCCAAGGCATAAGTCATTTGAGACAATTCTAGGTCAAGTGCCAAGTCATTCAAAAAAAGTCCAGTCGAGTCAATTGTCGAGCGATTTGAGAAAAGCCCCAGTTAAGTGTCAAGTCCATTAAGGTGGAATCTTCAGGTAAATCTGAATTCTGAGTGTTGAAATGACTCCATGTTTGAACATCTAACTTTTCTGTTTAAATATTTTTGCAGTGGACAGGCCTAATAAGTAAATATTTAAGGTAGTGGTTGTGCAGGGTGTGTCAGAAACTGTCCCAATAAGTTTATTGTTGTGGGATCAGCAGTACCGAGACTTATTCAAGTATTTATGTAGTCAAGTCTCACGGTAGTCATGTCCACGTCACGGTTTAGACTTCTGGAAGGAAGCGGGACTTTAGAGAGTCGCTTTGAACGCTTTGCTGCGTTGAAATTGCGTTGAAATTTAATGCTTAACACTGTGCTTTTGCCGTGACAGATTTAAATGCCCTTGTTTTCTTGTGCTCTGTTACTTATAAAACTGCTGAGATTTCATGCACACTTAAAAACTGTCAGGATAAAAATAATTGGGTAAGAGCTTTGGTGCAATCCAGTGTATCATCATGAAACATTTTAAAGTACTGCACTCCCAATGTAAACCTACACTGCTTAGCTACACCAATTAGGGTGGGAAAAATTAACATTTATCATTTTCCTTGTTCCACAATGTTCAAACTGGGCAAAGGTCTAATCAGACGAGATGATTTAGAACATCTATGTGTTTCTTTCAGGGCCTTTAAACATCAGGAAAATACAATAAAATGTTGGCCTTTAACCAACATACCTCCCGTCTGTGAGTCCACAGGTAAAAGGTATTTGTCATCCTTTCTAATTTGGTATTTTTCTATGCTTCTCATTAATTTACCTGCCCCTGTATTTATTATAAAAGCTCGTATTTATTATATTAATTTGCATCTGCTCCATAATTTCTCACTAAGTACCAATGATTATATACATTACATGATTATAATACAGATGTGGCAGCAGTTCATAAAGACAATTTGATGCTGATTCATTATCGGTTGTGCAATCTTGTCAATAACTGTATTTATTTTGATGTCATAGGGTAAACGGTGTATTGTGCCCTCAGGTCACCAGGGATCAACGGTTCAATCACTGCCGGAACAACAGCACAAACTGTCACTATTTGCTCTCTGCCAATGCTCAAAAGCAAGCTGATATAAGAAAAGGTAAACTGAAAATAAAACTCAGTTTAATTCGTCTAGGCTGCAGAGATAAAACTAATACTAACATAATGTTTCATAGCACCTAGCATAGTTTGTATGTATTCATGCTCTCCTAAAAATCCTAGATCTGCTCAGCACCACATCAGATTAACCTGCTTGTGAAGTCATCAGTCAGTTCACGTACAGTAAACACTTACATAATTCAAAGGCTCTTGTGGACAGGTGATCACATTTAAAAACTAAATGTATCAATTCACATAAGTTCTCTACATGTCACAAAGAGAGTTTTTGATGACATTTCTTACAAGTCACATCGCACAAATAACAAAAATAAAAAACAAGTAGCCTACAGGATCTAATACAAAAGAAATGATGCTCCAAAAAATTATACAATAATACAGATACTTAAATCAGTGTATTTTAGACTGTCAGGGGCTTGCTGCCAGCCCTAACCTTTTCCGCCAACGCTAACTCACCTTATTAAAGCATTGATTCTCCCAGGTGAATAATTTATGGAGGAGAAAGGCAACCTGAGGAGATTCAGATGCTGAAGCCACACGGGACTGCAAAGGCAGCAGAATTTGTGGCAGTAGCAATGATACGCTAAGCTGTTAATAATTATATGATAACCAAGGACAGTGAGTAGGTTGAGGTCACAGAGGTCATGCTCAAAGACACAGAGAGTCTGAAATATTTACCCAAAAGTATTTTGTTTGTTTTGCGGTTCAGATGCATGAAATCTTCATATGAAATGGTTCTGAAACATTTCAGATTTTAAATTTTAAATCAATAAGTTTAAATAAGTGATATTACTGAGTCTTACTGTCTTTTTGTCTGTAAAGCCACAGAGATTTCATTAATAGAAATGATATACACATGTGTTAGTGTTTTTTCATACCACTTTCTGATAATGCAACATGTATAAAGGGTTGTAGAAGTTGTAGTTAACAGGTTTATTATTGATTGAAACATCATACACTAAGGCTTTATGACTCAGTTATTAATAAGAACTAGTTTAGGGTTGACAAATTGTAGGAAATCCTCCTCTAGCATTTGCTTGTCTTTTCATGAGCTCTTTAATTTATTAGGGAAACACCTAATCGTATCTTCTGGAAAACAGCTGCAGGACATCTGGACCAGTCCATGTATAAACTGCTCTTTCACAACCTGGCAACCCAGAAGTTGTTCTTATTATTGGCTTATAAAGCACAATAACATTTTATAAACAAGTACCCTATCAGAAAGTGGTACCCAGTGACACAATGAGAATGAATAAAGAAGTACTAGAGCCAACAGTATCAGTTAAAAAGGAATATGCAGAGCACTTCACTACATGCAGAGATCAGAAAATTGATCTTAAATAAGTCATTTTA